ACTGGCTGTTCCTGTAAATTGTGATGTATTTCAGGATAATACGGTCATTTCCGATGAATTCCCAGGAGAGCCTCCATTGTCACGAAATGTCTTCAGGCAACTTTTGAATCAAGAAACTCTCATTCGAATGTCTCTCGTGAAGAATGTTCAAAGTCTGATGCAGGACATGGTTACACAGAAGGAGATGATGTTGAAGCTTCAAAGTAGCATGGAAAAAATGGCTCTAATTCTAGAAGAACAGAATAAAACGATAGAAACAAGATTGTCATCGCTTAATACGGATAACCAAGAAACCAACAGAAGGATTGTACAACTAGAAGAAGAGGTTAAAGATCAGAACCTTACAGAGGGAAGACTTGACCTGGAGCTGACAAATGTCATCAATATCCAGCAAAGTCTTAAAGAAGAGTTAAAACTCACTGTCGAGGAATTAAAGAGGAACGCTTCTGATGCTATGTCTGACGTAAAAGTGGAAACGCGGCTCCTGTCCATGAGTGTTATGGATCTTGATCAGCGTGCAGATGATGTAAAGAAGCGTTTAAATGACTTCAACAAAAGTGTGCCTCAGCTATTTGAGAAATATCAAATAGTAACACAAAGAGTAGGAAATCTGTTTACTAACTTATCAGGTAATGACGAGTATTTTTTTTTCCCTATTTTATTACCGTTTTTGAATGCTAAGAAATAATCAAACAACAAATCACATTTTTGTTTCAAATAGCAATTGTGCATTATTATTATGAAATTGGGTATTAACACTATAATTACTTTTTCTCAGTGTCTTCTGACCAAGAGCTGAATGAAATAAAGTCGGATCTAAAGAAAACACAGAAAAAGCAGCTCAAACTGTCCGCAGCAGTTCTTTCTTTAGAATGGTTTAGAAATAATGCGTCCAAAGGGAATTGTGGTAACAATTGCTTTCTTTGACGAATGTTCCGTAGAGTTATTATATAAACATTTAAAGCTCAGGAAGATAATATAGCTTTTAATTGATAATTTATTCTAATTGTCAGAATTTGGCGAGTTAGAGGTACATACATTTCTTTTCAATCCTTATCGGGATTTATTTTAAAATTACAATTACGGTCGAAATAGCTATGCTTTCAGAATAGAAATACTTTTAGTTCCTATCGGTAAATCTGCAATTACTGATATATATATATATTATGGTTGAATTACTGATATATATATATATTATGGTTGAATTACTGATATATATATATATATTATGGTTGAATTACTGATATATATATATATATTATGGTTGAATTACTGATATATATATATATATATATATATATATATATATATATATATATATATATATATATATATATATATATATATATATATATATATATATATATATATATATATATATTATGGTTGAATTACTGATATATATATATATATATATATATATTATGGTTGAATTACTGATATATGTATATATTATGGTTGAATTACTGATATATATATATATATATATATATATATATATATATATATATATATATATATATATATATATATATATATATATATATATATATATATATATATATATATATATATATATATATTATGGTTGAATTACTGATATATATATATATATATATTATGGTTGAATTACTGATATATATATATATATATATTATGGTTGAATTACTGATATATATATATATATTATGGTTGAATTACTGATATATATATATATATATTATGGTTGAATTACTGATATATATATATATATATATTATGGTTGAATTACTGATATATATATATATATATATATATATTATGGTTGAATTACTGATATATATATATATATATATTATGGTTGATCCAGAAGTTACGTCACAACTGTGATAAAATCTTTAAGAACTGGAAAATGTCAACAAAACCTTACACACTAATACCCCAATAGATTTTGTGTTTTGTCCTAAATTATCATTTAGATACATGCAATACTTTATAAAAGTTGGGTCTCATCTATCGCCGCAAGAATGTATCGGCGTCGTTATTATGTTTCTTTTGGACAATAATTTTGAATCTGCTGATACATTTACGAAAAGAGGAATGAATTTAGAAATATATAATAGTGCAGCTCAAAACAAGACGTAGCAAAATGGCAGTAATGACTATTGAGAAGAAGCATGTCTGAGTTTAAAAAGATTTGCGGGTGATCAGAAAATGAGAACCGAAAAGTAACGTCATAAGGATGTCAGAAACATTTTTGCCAGTGGCAATAAACGAGTGCCAAAGTTGAGTTTATTTATTTACTGCATATTTCTGAAAGAAATTTTAGGACAAAAGTCAAAATAAATAGAGGCATTTGTATACAATATTTTGGTGATAACCATTGATTATTAAAGATTTTATAGCAGTTGTAGCATCAAACCGCTTTTTAAACAGATTTGTATATGACTAGTCAATGATTTTGTTTAGGACATAAAGGCTCGCTTCTACAACATCTGTTTTCAGAGTTAACAAAGTTAACCAATGTATCAAAAAAGGTTGGGTTTACGGATGGTCTTCGTTCCTCCAACAGTGGCTGGTCTTCTGATAAACTGGTCTTCACTGAAGAGATCTACAATTATGGTGGCGGCTACGATTCTTCATCCGGGGTATTCACAGCGCCAGCCTCTGGTGTTTATGTGTTCTTTGTCTCCCTTACGTCGTATGAACACTCTAGCGTCCTTGTTGATATTGTGGTCAATGGTACCTCCAAAGTTAGAGCCAGGGCAAATGGAGGGAGAGACACTACTGACTACGACTACTTTGAATACCAGTACCAGACGGGGACGAACATGGTGGTGACTTCACTAGATCGTGGGAAGAAAGTGTGGGTGGAATGTCATTCTGGTGCGGGCTACTACTCCGAAACTGTCCCAGTCAGCACTTTCTCAGGCTTCATGATCTAAAGTCAACGAAATAATTATGATGTAGACGGAGGTGTCAATATACGGCAGTTATTATAGTTGTACATCGCATTTTCTTTTTATGTCAAATACGTTTCACCAGTTTATTGTTTTTTTTTCTCACATTGTACTAATAAACATTTGAATATCTAAAAACAGAAACAAGATGTGTTTGTGAAATACAGATGCCCCGTATGGCTTTTTTGGCGAAGGTTAAAGTTTTTCAAATGCAAATCCAACTTCAAAGCCAAGAGATCACAAAATGTTGTTACCCAAAGAAATTTGTCTCAATGAATATATCTGTGAAATATGAAAACCCTAGCGCTAACTATTCAAAAGGCATGGCCAAGGCTAAAGATTTTTTTTAAAGTAGGTCAACTCCAAGGTCAAAAGATCAAAATTGTTGGTATCAAAAGGAAGCCCTTGTCACAGGGAATACATCTGTGAAACACGAAGGATCTAGTACTGTTCAAAAGCTATGTCTAAGGCTGAAATTTTTTAAAATGGTTCAAACTCAAAGTTCAAGTCAATAGGTCAAAAATATTTATATTCATGGAAAGGTCTTGTCACAATAGATTTACATGTGAAGCACGAAAGCCCTTGCACCAACTGTTTAAAAGTTATGGCCAAGGATAAAGTTTGGTAGATTTTTGCAAAAGTGGGTCAAACTCCAAGGTCAAAGGTCAAGAGGTCAAATATGTTGGTATCTGAAGAAAAGCCATGTCACAAGAAATACATATTTGAAATATGAAAACCATAGCTTCACTCAATCAAAAGTATAGGCAAGGTTAAAGTTTTTGCAGACAAACAGAAAAACTGACAAGCAGACAGGCGGCCGGACAGGGCACAAACTATATATCCCCAAATCTTCGATAACGGGGGCATAAAAAAGAAATACGACTTTATTAGTTTTATACTAGTGTGATCAATACAAAGGGTTCATTGCGGGTGTGACCGGTCGACAGGAAGAATGATTTGGAAGTAAAAGTACTATGTGCTGACAAGAGTCAAAAACATCTCATACATGTTTATTAAAGAGAACATTGAAAGCTTCTCAGACTGTAAACATGTTACAAATAGAAATGGGAAACATTTCAGATTATATGTTTTACAGATACACATACATAGAAATGGGAAAACATTTCAGATTATATGTTGTACAGATACATGCACATAGAAATGGGAAAACATTTCAGATTTTATGTTTTAAAGATACACAGAAATGGGAAAACATTTCAGATTTTATGTTTTACAGATACATGTACATAGAAATGGGAAAATATCTCAGATTTTATGTTTTACAGATACATGCACATAGAAATGGGAAAACATTTCAGATTTTATGTTTTAAAGATACACAGAAATGGGAAAACATTTCAGATTTTATGTTTTACAGATACATGTACATAGAAATGGGAAAATATCTCAGATTTTATGTTTTACAGATACGTGTTCATAGAACTGGGAAACATTTCAGATTGTATGTTTCCTGGAATTTGTCAGTGCTCGGCCTTATAGCAATTAAAAGTGGTGCGGGGTAAGGGGGGGAGGGGGCAGCTTCTAAAGAAAAAATCACCATAGCAAAATACTATAGGAAGAGTTGAGGTCGCCAAAGTGCATTATAAACCCAAAATATGCCATCTTACCACGAAAGATGCAATTTAAACTTTTGCAATCTTATTTTAAAAAATATTAATAATGGCTATTTATTCACCATTAATCACACATAATTTCCAGTCAATTCATTTTTAAATGCGTCCCTTCATTTAGCTAAATAATATATTGAGACTCCTCTCTCTCTCTCTCTCTCTCTCTCTCTCTCTCCTTACAAAAATTTCTAATTTTTGACCAAGTACTTTAATTGGGTCTGGGATGAAGGTTAGCACTTACGTGCCGATATACTTTCATACCACTTAAACTGTTTGAAAATTATGTATTATAATTTTTCCGCACTCAAGTTTATAAATCATCGACTTCGGGTAATTATAAACGCTTAATCAAAGTTCAAATGGTCTTTTGCAAATTTTCTATATAAACTGTCTCTAAGCTCTGCTTTGTGCATATTCAATTAATAATTTATAAAAATGGTCGTCTTTCTGAGGCTGCTTTCCCTTTCTATTTTCTTCTGGAGCCAGGGGAAAACTTTTGGTTCCATGAATACAACAGTGACGGATCTTTCGGGCAAAGAGCCGCTCGGACAGGACGTCTTCAGACAACTCCTGAACCAGGAGACGCTGATCCGAATGTCCATGGTTAAAAACGTCCACAGTCTGATGCAAGACATGGTGTCACAAAAAGACAGTACGGTGAAGCTGCAAAACATCGTTAACAAACTATCAATTTTATTAGAGGAAGAAAAAACGTCAAGACAAACGGAAATCAAAGAGCTAAAAAGTGAAAACCGGAAACTAAAGGAAACTATTGAGAAAATGGACAAAGTTTTAAGTGAGCTGAATCAGACAGATGCTAGGTTAGAAACTGATATTAACAAAGTCTGGGATGATCAAAAACAATTTGTTAAAGACATGAACGCAAGTCAGGAATCGTCTACAAGAAAAACCAACAATGTCTTATCAGACCTGAAGGTAGAGCTTCGCCTTCTCTCCATGAGTGTTTTGAATGTTGACAAGCGTTCACAAGACCTAAACAAACGCCTAGACAATGTAGACAAGACAATACCAAAGCAGATCGAGGAGAAATATCACGTGGTCTCAGCAATGGCCAAAAACTTGTCGGAACATTTATCAGGTTAGCATTCTATAAACCTTATCTTGGTGCTAAATGTATTTAGTTGTATTATGAGTTAATTGATGCTTTTTTGCAGAGGAAACTAATAACACATTAAGTAACATGAGATCTGAGCTTGAAGACACCAAACAGAGTCAGCTGAAAATATCAGCAGCAGTGTTGTCTTTGGAATGGTTCAAAAACAACATCTCCAGGGGAAACTGCGGTAAATATGAACTAAAAGTTAAGACATAAAAATCAAGCTTCTGCAAACAGACTTTAGAACATTTACTGCTGGATTTATTGAAGCTCCATTTCATGATATTTAAATCGGCAATTTTAAGATAAAAGTAAAAATAAATATGTAATAAAAATGCGTTTTTCAAAAAAGTGATTTCAAAACATTTCTTTCTGATAATCCTGACCAAAATCGGGGCAGAGCTTTTTCAATGTAAATGTAGCACTTTTTAATATATTTTTTAATAACTTTCATTTGCAGACTTGTCGAAAAGAATAGGCTTCACGGCAGGTGTATCGTCTAGTGGAAGAAGCTGGTCCTCAGGTAAATTGATATTTACCAAAGTGTTGTACAACCAAGGAAATGGCTACGATTCTGCATCCGGGGTTTTCACAGCGCCCTCTGCTGGCATGTATGTGTTCTACGTCTCCATTACTTCGTATAGTTCGAACACTATCTCGGTAGACATAATTCTCAATGGGTACTCCCAGGTAACAGCCAGAGCAAATGGAGGAAGCGGAAGTCTTTATACTGGATACGGTTCCTCTGACTATTCATATCCGTATCAGTCTGGAACAAACATGGCAGTCCTGTCCCTAAAGCGCGGAGACAGAGTTTGGACTGGGTACAAATCGGGGACAGGGTACTATACCGATAGTACTCCAATTACAACATTCTCTGGATTTTTGATTTAGAAGTGCTTCAGAGCAGACAATTTAGAAGAAAAATGAAATTACGAATCCTGATCCTTATCATTGCCATATCGCATATTTTATGTATGCTATCACTGCTATTTGAACAGTTTCTCTGTCAATAAAAAATATCCAAATGAACCTCCTTTATAAATACCTTTATCATCCAAACACGTATTAAAGCTTCTTAACACTTGTACCTACACAGTCATTGTCTCTTCATAGTAGAAATTGTTGACAAGAAGGTATATTTGAATTAATATTTGTTTGCATCTACTAATTTTTTAATTTTTTTCTTATGAAAATTGTTGTTTATTTGAAGCAAAAAATAAATTCTATCTGTATGAAGTATATTTACAGTCCCTGAAACGTTCTACTTTCCCACTTGAACGGTGAGCGAACGCTGAACGAACGCTGAACGAACGCAGAGCAAACGGTGAGTGAACGATGTGTGAATGCTGAACGCAACTTGGTGAACGGTGAGCGAACGCAGAACGCGAACGGAGCGCGAACGCAAAGTGAACGGTGAACGAACGGTGAACGCAAGATGAACGATTTTTTCGAAATGCTTCTGATCTTTCCTTGCATTGGAACCATTCTATTGTATTCTAATGTCAGATGCCAAATAAATAAATAAATAAATAATAAATATATAAACAAATCAATGATTAAATAAATAAATGCTACAAAATTTTCTTAAGAAAGATGAAATGCACATTAAGTATCTTTCTTGTACGAAGTTTATATTCAACTTTTACATGTAATCACGCGATTTTTATCGCTGTAAAAGATTGTACATGTAATTGTTACCGAAAGCTGTAGTATAAAAGATAAAATTATTTTAGTTTGAAAATAAAGATGTCCATTCTTATTTTATATAAATAACCATTACAAATAAGAGAACACTTCTGAATTATAGAACGAATTACAACGATTGTAACATCCATTCATATATTTCCGTGCCAAGGCGATTCCGTGTAAAATAATGAAAAAAAAATTAACAAAGGTCCATGGAAGTATTTGCATAAATACACTCGTATTTCAGAATCTTAAAGCAATAATATATTTATGGGTCAATTCTATTTTTTATGATGATTTATTGAGCAGACTTCTACATCTACCTGTAGACATTTCCCCGTGATTTTACTCAGACAAGATAATACAAAGCGGCATATTCATATTATTTGTTTTAGATTAAAATTTCAGAACTTGATATATGCTGTCATAGTTTTTATTAAACAGACAAATGAGAGAGAGGAGAGAGAGAGATATTCAGTTTTCGCCCCCCCCTTTTCAGTTTTCATGCTTCATAAAATGTTTGTACCTATATCAAACAAAAAAACTTATTTTTTTCTAGATTTATCAGGCAATAAAAGTAACTTTTTTAATCAACAAATCCATTTGTTTGACAGTCATACTCGTTTTTTTCTTGTAATGTTCCTCCTTCAAGTTCACACGAAGTCCACGTGCTTGTCCTGTCGATCAAAATCATTCGACACTGCGCAGGTGTGAAAGTCTCGTCACACCGAAGACGAAGCGCTAGTATTTCCAACAAGTTTTAACTTTTTTTATCATTCCTAGATTTGATTCCAACATTTCTTAAAAAAAAAAAAAAAAAAAAAAAAAAGTAAATAAAATACATTGGGTATAAACACTTGAAATTGAAACATACTCTCTGCCAATTTAAAATACCACCGCAGACACGTGTATTTTTTGAACTGCTATTGTGCAATGACTTTTTTAGATGCATTTGTTTAGAGACTGCAATTTTTGTGCTACAAAACACATTAACTTCTTTTTAAATGTTAATTAAAATATACTGGAAATACTGACTAAGTAACCGATTTGGGGGGGGGGGGGTTAATCATATCGAATGTCAAACATATAAAGTTACGGTGAAGGAAGAATTTTTCTCTCTAACTATAGACTATATAGTAGAGAAAATCCTGTAGTGTGTAGTGTATTACATTTTAAATAAATGTTTTTTTAAACCACACTATCAGTTCAATTCGCTCCAAAGATAATTAATTAACAGGATATCCGCAGTACTATGTATAATTCTCAGAACTAGTTCTATCATGTATTTGTGTAGTAATTGGGAAAAAACGTGTTAGAAATAAATATTTTTGTAATTTTGCTACAGTTTGTAAATTAATTGACTTGGTTAATTATCTATGCAGTAACGATTTGTCGTCTTTAAAATAACAACAAAATGTTGCATGGCTTGAAGTATCTTAATATTGCCCGTATTTAAATTTAATTTTTCAGCATCGTTCTACATAGGTACATACTTATAACAACATTTATTTCCCAGAGTAAATTACCTTACAGCTAAGTTAGATATTAATAATAATAAGTTAGAATATTGTGAATAATTTTTTCCCTTGAGATAATGATTCTTTAAACACGATATATTAATTATTAAATCAAAAAAAGCTGTAAATCCTTACTAACAAAAAGATAATTCCTTTCACTTTGGAGTTCCAAATGATACTGAAGACTGAACGATAAGTGAACGCTGAACGCAGGGTGAACGCAAAGTGAACGAACGGAGAGCGAACGCTGAACGCTTTGTGAACGGTGAACGCGAGCGCACGGTGAACGCTGAACGCAAAACTGTGAACGGAGAGCGAACGCTGAACGCACGGTGAACGAACGGTGAACGCACGCTGAACGAACGGTGAGCGAACGGAAAAATGGGAATGTAGAACGTTTCAGGGACTATAACTGCCAAAGGTCAACTCCCTTCCATCAATGTAACGCACGAATCGATATTACAATATTTTCGCATTCTCGTTCACTTAACATGAATAATTCAAACTCAGAAACAGGAAGCGTTTTTGGAAGTTTTCTCTTTGTTTATACAGAGATTAACGGTTTTAATCATTGCAAAAACTAGTTGTCAGTGTGGCACGAACGCACCTGCTGATAAGCGTGTTTTATATATTTCAAGGTTGATATTTTTGAATAATTTAATTCTAGTTATAACGCGGTATTTGATTGGATAAAATTTTTTACTTTATTCATGTATCGTTTAAATTGGGTTGCTTACGTCACAATGACTTGCGTCAAAAACGTATCGATCCGCCTGACGTTACATTTAAATTTTGTACAATTTGAAGTCATTATTTAAGGTCAATCATCTTTTTTTCTTACACTAAATGAATGAAAATTAAATTATAAGGAATGAAATAAATAGCTACCCAATTTATACTGTATAAAGTGGGTTGGAGCAGTTTACGCTTTTTAATAAGCCGCTTCGCGGTTTAAATAAAATGCATTTAATTTCATGGAATCTTGCCGGGTAAAATTTAACAAAAATCCTTTTGGCATATTATTACAAGGAAATAATAGTCATTACTATGGTTGAGAGTTATCCCTCTTATCAGGTCAACGTACCTTAAAGTCAAGGGGTGAAAAATAACAATGGTTAAAAACGAAATCATATCGATGCCCTTGTTATTGATTCTACAATACCTAAGGTTCCTTCTGTATAAATATGACTAATAATGGCATAATTGTTCTTGAGAAGATTTTACAGATATTTCCTATGTAACGTGTATTATAAGGTTCTTACAAAGGATAGAGAGGTTTTCCTTTTACTCTATCTGAGTTAATGACAGGAATGATTATTAAGACACCTCTGTCTGAGGGTATATCACACAGTACTTAAATTTTCTCCTATCTAGGGACGGGGACGGGGTAAGGTACTACTTGCACTGTATTTCTCCTCTAGGTTCCCATTACTAGATAAGAACTGGGTGTCTCAATCCTCAGATTTATTACACCCAGAACTTAACATCAATTCCCTAGGATACTTGCCACTGCTTTTTTTTAACTCCTTTATTGCTGATTCAACATATCCAACTTCTTCAGCTGGCTTCTGAACGACAGACTTTCCCAAAGCTTTGCCTTATATACCCTTTGGCTAGTCCATTCCACTATTTGAAGTCTTCAATACGTTTACTTAAATACTCTTACATGTAACCATTACACCTATATATTCCTATGTAAAACGTTGACCCACTGTTGTGGCCCCGCCCTAGCTCCAGTGGTCATGAACAAACTTGAATCTACACTGCCTGCAGAGGATGCTTCTGTATTTATATGACTAATAACAGCTTAGCTGTTCTTGAGAAGAATTTTTTTAAACATATTTCCTATATATTCCTATGGAGAACTTTGACCCCTTTTGTGACCCTGCCTAACCCCCAGGGGTCATGATTGGAACAAACCAGAACTTACAATACCTGAGGATGCTTCCATATAAATATGACCAATCATGGCTTTGCTATTCTTAAGAGGAAGATTTTTAAAGAGATTTCCTACATGTTCCTATGTAAAACTTCGACCCCCTCTTGTGGCCCCGCCCTACCCCCGGGGGTTATGATATGAATAAATTTGAATGTAGAGTATGTAATGAAGCTTTCTCATAAGTTTCATCTTTTCTTGCCCAGAGGTTCATGAGAAGAGGATTTTTAAAAGATGCCACGAAATTCTTCATTATCTCTCCTAGAAAGAGGGCGTGGCACTTCCTGTGAACAAATTTAAATCCCCTTCACCAAAGGATGCTTTGTGGCAAATTTGGTTAAAATTGGTCCAGTGGTTCTTGAGAAGAAGTCAAAAATGTGAAAAGTTTACAGATGCCGGACGACAGACAGACGCCGGACACTCTATGATCAGAAAAGCTCACTTGAGCCTTTGGCTCAGGTAAGCTAAAAAGGACAAAAGACAGAGAAGTCTCAAAGTCTAAATGGAATTTAAAAAAAAAAAAACAACCCACATGAAACTCGAACTTGATCTGTAAATTATCAATATTATGAGAAATACCAAAAAGCAGCTCCTTGTCAAAAAGCACAGCAAAAAAGTCCGGAAAACTTGCATCTTGACAGATGGAAAAGGATAACAGTATATGCTGCGGCCATGGAAAGATGAGGGTGTAAAAATTTAGATATCCAGTATTTTTCTGTAGTTTTTTTCCTGCATTGCTGCAAATCTCAACAACCATATTGTACAGGACTATATTATGGAAAAAAGATGTGAATTGAGAAACACTGATGCCCCCGTATCGCAACTTGAAGCAAAAGTTAAACTTTCTCAAATGCATATCAAATATGTTAGTACACAATGCAAGGTCGTGTCTCGATGAATATACTTGTGAAATATGAAAGACCCAGTTGCTACCATTGAATAGATACAGAAAAGGTTAAAGTTTTTTAAAAGTAAGTCAAACATCAAGGTCAATGTCAAAATTAATGGT